TGCCTGTTGATAGAGAACTTGACTTTTGACCTGTTTTCACGTTTCTGAGCCCTGGCAAGATACCTTTTCCCAATGCTTTACTTTTACAAGGCCCGTGCTGCTCTATTTTTACAAGGCCTGAGGCCTATATCGGGTAAAGGCCCTTTTATCCGGATGGAATCGGATGAGGAAAAAACTAATCTGCATTTACCTGCAGCCGGTCAGTTCAAAGACGATATCCCGCGGCCGTCACCCTTCAAAAATATAAGAAAACGAAAAACATAGACCAGGATGATGCTTTCTAAGCATGAAAAAAGCGCTAGTGCATCCTGGTTGAATGTCCAAGCTCCTCGATCACCCTTCCCTTTTTATGAACCCTCCCCTCCTCAGGACAACCACACACCCCTGCAATGCCCACCTCCAAAATAATCCTCTACTTGGGTACGAACCTGGTTGATAAGCTCCACAATTTCTGGCGGGGGAACCTTTGTCGCTGCCTGCTCCTTTACATAGGACTCGATCCCAGAAGCTGTGCGAGGACCCTCATACGGAATAGGGTTCTGCTTGTCGGCACCGAAAAGAAGAATCGTTGGGAATCCCTGAATTTTGTACATTGATGCCAAACTCTGCATGAAACAATAGAACATACACCATCAAGTCAAACCGTCAAGAGCGAGGAGGGATGAGCCGTGCTGATAACACCTGCAAAAGAGAGGAAGAACAGGACGACAGTAAGTCAGATAACCAGAATGTGGTATAGGTTCAAGGGATGGGTGAACACAAAGGATGGGCGATATGTGGACATGAAGTGTCAAGGAAGAGCATCGGTACCCAGCAAGACTAGTCTAGTTTGTGTTACAAAGTCAGCAAGCATCTGACACACAACACATGACAGAATTCTAAGGTGTGACGACCTACCGTGTGAACTGTAGCATCAACGGCTCCAAGCTTGACACCCTCCACATTCTGGAGATTTGATGCAGCTGTCTTCCACTCAGGCTCCAATCGCTTGCAGTGTCCACACCTGATCAAACCCAATCCTGCTTTTTCAGTGGTGAATTCAGTCTTGACAACCATTGTTGTGTTTCCAAAGAACAATTTGGATAAATCGCGAGTCATCACCTCCCGATTTGCCCAGAAACCCAACCCAGTTCATCAGATGGGATCTCATAACACCGCTGCACGGTCCAATGGTGTGTGTGACCGAACGCATCATCAATTCTTTTGGCAAGCAGGTTGCACTGCCAGGTTCCCAGGTGATGGCTACTCGACACTTCTTTCCATGCACAATCTCATCAAAGACTCGGTTACCAGAGTGGCCCAAGCAATGCATGTACAAGCAAAGAAAACGAAGACTTTTGTGGTGGATGGCTTGCACTGCGCATGCACGTACACACACACACACACACACACACACATTTCCTGAGCACAGGCTGCAACCACATCAAACGCGAAGGAGGAGGAAGAAACCGCTGTGTTTCAAGCAGTTCATAACGCCCCCAAACACAGAAAGATTCACAAGATACTAGGGGACCTGTTGCGGCTACACCTGCAAGGGATTGAGGGGAAATGGGAGAAATGAGTCGGGGTGGTGGGTTGAGGGGGGTTGGGGTGGTGGTCGGGGGTGTTTTTAGACTCGTGGTCCCGTGGGAGGTTGTGCCCTAGCAACTATGGCAATGTGTGTGAAGCGCCTCCTGCTAGTTGGGGAGGTTCTGCAACAGCTGGCTTTGGAAATCGGCATGCTATGTCTACCCGTACTGTCTTCCCCCGACTCTAGAGTGAAATCCAGCGGCGTACCTTGGTTGCTATGGCACACAAGTGGCATTCATGAGGTCTTGAGTTCAATCCCTGTTGGCCTCATGTACCTTGCTGGGCAAGCTTGGCGCTAGGCACATAGAGAAAGACCGGAGGGGAGGCACATCCTTTTTTCCCCAAGCTGTGGAGGTGTGGCAGAGGAGCAGGGAGAGTGAAGAAGCGGGGGAGGAGAGCGGAGGAGGGCAGCAGGAGCAGAGAAGACGTGGGGGATGAGCGGCGTAGTTACTTTGGGGTCTCTCTCTCTCTCTCTCTCTCTCTCTCTTGCTCCCTCGCTCGCTCTGCTGCGCGCTGTTTTTCCATTTTTTTTTTGTTTTTTGTTAATAAAGATCTCCCGATGGTCCACGGGTCAGATATCAAACTGATCCGAACAGATACTACACTTGATCGTCATCGTCGTCGTCGTTTTGCGGGGCGGGATAGTTGGTTAGTTTGGGGTCTCTCTCTCTCTCTCTCTCTCTCTCTCTCTCTCTCTCTCTCTCTCTGTGTGTATATATATATATATCGTCAAATAGAACTGCCCGGTAAACCGTAGGCAGAGAGGGAGAAGAGGACAACAAACGAGGGGCTGTGACAAACTGTTTCGTCGGAGTTTCACCGACTCATCAGGAGGCTGAACCCT